ACCATTTCCACAAAGAACTCCTGGGACTAGTACTCATGATCGCCAAGAACACGAGGTACCATTTCCACAAAGAACTCCTGAACAACTCCTGGTACTAGTATTATCATGTTCGCCAAGAACACGACGTGCACCACTTCCACAAAGAACTCCTGGGACTAGTACTCATGATTGCCAAGAACACGAGGTACCATTTCCACAAAGAACGCCTGAAGAACTCCTGGGACTAGTACTCATGATTGCCAAGAACACGTACCATTTCCACAAAGAACTCCTGGGACTAGTACTCATTTCCACAAAGAGCTCCTCGTACTCATGATCACCAAGAACGCGTTTCCACAAGGAACTCCAGGTACTAGTACTCATGATCGCCTATTCCACAAAGAGCTCCTGGTACTAGCACTCATGATCGCCAAGAACTTATCTGGTACTAGTACTCGTGACTGCCAAGAATACCACAACAAGCTCATGATCAATCATGATGGGCACCAAGAACAGGATGTACTGAACTCCACTGACAGTAACTTGGCTGTAACGTTGATCGATCGATATCGATAATGCATACAGCCGCTTTCCGATCTAGTACTGTGAGTTTTACCATGAGTGGCCATGCACATGCAGATTTCAGGACGGCTGCAGAAGCCCAAGCCATTCATGATGCAGGGCTGTCCTTTTGCAGATTGCACCTCATGCTGACAAGGCTAGCGATCAGGCAAGAGGATTCAAGTTCGACAATGCGAGTGTGTCCATATCGTTCTGCTAGGGGCTCCTGGCATCGCTACTAGGGGCTGAAGGACGCTACTAGGGGCTCCTGGCATCGCTACTAGGGGCTGAAGGACGCTACTATCGCTACTAGGGGCTGAAGGACATTACTAGGGGCTCCAGTCATCGCTACTAAACACTGAAGGTCGCTACTTGGGGGGTTGTGGCATTGCTACTAGGGGCTGAAGGACGCTACTAGGGGCTCCTGGCATTGCTATCAGGGCTGAAGCTCGCTACTAGGGGCTCCTGGCATTGCAAATTTGTGAATTGCGCAGGCAGCAGCGAGTGGCATGGTTGCTCAAACCGAAGCTTCACATCTACAAGCATGTCATCAAACGAACGCTGCATTGGCGCGTCTTGGCTTAACTGGATGCTGATTTCAAGCTTGGTGTTGAGATCTCATGAGCTATCTGCCAAAAAGTGAGACCTGCTGAAGGTCACAACTCGCGCCACTGGTCCTGCTTTAGCGAAGAAGATTCGATTGGAGTCCTGAAGCACGTTGCTCGCCATGTATCTGGTGCTCAGAGCGAGCAGTATCTCTACAATTCATGTGCATTTGCTTGTGAGTATGCATAAAATATACTTCGAAGTATATTACGCATGTGCAGATATCAACTGCTGGCCAAGAAGCGGATGAGAAGGACTGGACATGTGCTGCAAACATGGCAGTTGCAAACTGATGTTGAATTTTGGACTATTTTTGCAAGAATGTGTATCGATTTTTGCTGCAGGATTGACATGGTCGCAGCCTGGAATCGCTGATGGTCGCTCAGGGTGCCAGAAAAGTGATCGGAGAGCGGCTGTTTAGTGAAAGTAGTCCCTGATCGCATGGTACTTGTTAAACTGGTCCCCCGGGTCCGCAGGGTATATATTTATATATATACAAATATTAAATATTCTGTTTGTAGTATATATATGGAGGGAGAGAGTCACTTAGTCACTGAGTTACGCTGTATATGGCACTTTCACTTTAAGTCACCATACAGTAGCGAACCAGAGAAGAGAAAGGGAGTTATATATAGGAGGATGCCCAGGACCCTAGGCCTTTGCCCAACCAAGAACTTTGATCCAATGCGTTGATTCGCAGTCCCAGATGAACCGTGGGTGGGCGACACCATAGGCCTTTACTTTGCAATACCCAGACCATCCATGTACAGTGGTTTCAGAGTAGATGGCACAATCCCCCAGGTCGGTTCTAATATGGACCCCCCATGTAGAAGACATCTTTGGGTTTGCCACATGGTTTGCCATCTACTCTGCAACCACAGGACTACTTTGCCCGCCTTTTGGTGCCTTTTGCCGCTGTGCTCAGGATGCGCGCAGTGCGTTCGTTGAGCTTTTTGCGCCGCAGTGAGTGAAAGTGAAAAGGAATTAATGCTTCGGACAGCTTGGGCTGGCGCGTACGATGTGGCGGTGGGTCATGGTGCCGGGACACCCTGGTTGACCCCCGACAAGGAACTCAGATTCAACTGTTAAGATGGTCAATGCTTTCATGGTTTGTTCTGTACCGCGCTTCAACCCACAGCCGCGGACCGTTTTTGGGGACCATTTTGGGGGATCGTGTTTGCGTCGACTATCGTCGACTTGATCAGGCGGCGGTCGTTAGCCGCCTGTCGACGTGTTCCAGTCCGGAACTTGATACAATGGTTCCATGAATGGCCGTTTCAATTATCCACTTATACCAGCACCTTCCTACAGGTCTCCTTTGGAGGGTTGTTAGCTTACGCCCTAACAGGTTTCAATTGGTGACCTGTTGGAGGTGCTGGTATAATGGGTGTTAGTTTGCAGCATCATACATTTTACATGGACCGGGCCATCCTGGCTAAGGCCTATATCATATCCATGGATGAACATGGGTGTGCACTAGAATAGGGATACCCCCCCGAATGACCTCCAGCAATATCAAAGGCAGATGTAGGCTTGTGAGGTGCCCCTATTCAAATACAAACCCACCTCCTCTCCTAGCGAGGTCCAAGGGTGTCGTTCTGCTCTCCGAAACCCGCTTCACCCTCCGTAACGCGGCTCCGAAACGCGGTCACACGTGTGAGCGATAGGCCATTGAAGAGATCAAGGACCGGGTTCGGATCCTCCGTGAGGTTGGGTGGACCGGATTGGAATCGGCCAGCCTACGCCGTACTCCGCCTCAACCGGATCCGACATTGGGGAAGTCATGCATCCATGGTCTCACCGGGGGTGACGAGTCAGGCCTCTGACTCTTCATGGAGTGGACCTTTGTTCTTTAAATCGGAACTTGGGGACATGCAGACCGACGAGTCACCATGGGATGTTCCGGGGGGGTGTATGGAGTTAGACCTTTTTGAGTCGATTCAAGCAGGTAAACAATGGTAAACATATATAATGTTCACAAGCTTTTGAGAACACACCAGCAGCCTCACCATCATCATCCAGTGTTACGGGGAATGGGATATGCCTGGTCAAGTCTATTCTTCCAGTGGGACTTGAGGGGGTTTCCCTACGTGCCCATATCTAATTATCATATTAGTTGGGGTGGGTCCTTGCTTCAAGTTCACCCCCCCATATCCCACTGGAAGAAAAGACAAGGCGAGAGGTGCAGCGAACCTTTGGTAAGCCCATGCTTACCTTAGCTCTCATATCAATCTCAGAAGCAAACTCAGCGAGGGCTCCTGGCCCACCTCCTGAGGTGACCGGTGGTTGGGGATGGTTTTGGGGGTCTAACCACATTCCGAGGATATGGAGCCCTACACCTGTATTTGACCGACTTGCCAAGACCGTCCTCACACATCTCCAGACCCGACCCGACCGGAAGGACCGGGTCCGTTCATCCGGCAATCTGTCGTTGCGCCTTCCAAACGTCTATTGGCGTTTGCCTTCATAAATGCATAGAGAGATAGAGAGATAGGTACATATTGGTAAATAGATCTATGATATTCATATTCCATGATGCAAATTTATCTCAATAGTTCTAAATATGTTTCTTGGTAGTAGCCATATTGCATGATAACCTCATATTTCGTTAATCAATACTTAATATCCCGTAATAACTTCAGTCATATTCCATCACATCACATAATAGCGTGTATATATAACAAAAATAAGTTGACACCATTCGCATGGCATGAGCAAGGTGGACTACAAGCTGCTTGTGCGACGCACTGGTGTTTCATGGACTTGAAGAGCGGACGCACTAGCATGCACCAGGAGTCACAAAGGGGTGGTGTTTGGTCCCAAGTGAGTGGATCATAGGCACCCCTAACCTCCATTAAGCACCCCTTTGTGACTGCTGGTATATAGCTAGAGCTGTTAATCGCAAGAGGGCCACGACCTGGTGGCTGTTTCCTGCAAATCCACAGCTGTCGAGTTGACACCAGAGACACCAGAGCCATCTTTTAGAGTTGCGCTGCACAACGTGCTCTCGTCGTGCTGGTTGGGAGGATGACCTGCCGAGTCTCAGGCGCCGACGCTGCAGTCGATTCGGCCGCCGCCGGTGGAACATGCAGAGTGGTCTTTGGTGACCGCGTGGCGATGCTCTCTGAAGTGAGGACGTTGGACCCAAATGGGGAAGGCTCGTGGCTCCGGGGAGTGTCCAGTCTCACATCGGTACTGGCACACGTAGTGAGGACCCTGACTCCAGCGGATGGAGTAGGCTGACTGGCATCCTCACTTGCATAGCACTCAGACACCCGGCGATGCGCTTGCTTGCCACGTTTCCGGCGAGACTGGCAGCTTTGCGAACATTGGTGACCACGCCGGGCAATCTGACAACCAGACATTCTGCCTGCGCGGTGGCGTATCTGTCAGATACAAACAATTGATTATTTGCCTATAATGTCATTTATCTATCGATCTACCTGCCTATCAGCCTATCTATCTACCTATCTACCTACCTACCTATCTATCTACCTATCTATCTATATATCTATTTGACCATCCACCCATTCATCCATGCATCCATCTATCTATCCATCCATCTATCTATATCTACCTAGTTTGTCCATCTACCTGTCTAGTTGTTGTTTATTATGTTTTTTTCTGTGTATCTGTCTATCTATTTGATTTATATTTATATGCGCATTGTTTTATCAACCCATCAAACTAATCGTATTTATTTATCAATATATGTTTTCTCATCTAACCTGGGCAGTCTGATTAATATAATATTTTTTTTTTTTCTTTATCTATGTTTCTTTCTATTTAACTACAGTATAATCTTTTTATATCTCTATCCAATTAACTAACTATCTATTCATTGTTTTATCAATATATATATTTGTCTACCTATTTATGTATCTATCTATCTACCTATCTAACCTATCTCTATCAAGCTCCACTTTTTAGCAGGGCGGATCCTCATCCAAGCTTCGAACCCGAGCATCAGGAGCCCTCTTTGCTTCTGGGGGAGCCGCGACGACGCGCGGCAGCGCAACTGTCCAAACCCCGCGCATTGGCTCTGCAGAATGAGCGACTTGATTCAGATCTCAAGTGCGGAAACGAACAAGAAGGGTTCCAGTGAGGTGCGGGATGAATTTTCAAGGCCATGGTTGTCCGGGTTTGTATTATTTGTTCCTCACGGCGTGCGACATACCTTAGGGTTCTGGAAAGAGCAAAAACAAGCTGTGTTGTTTCCTTCGCAACTCCAAAAAAATGGTTGGGGCTCTATCAGTATCAGTGTTTGTTTGCGTTGCCATGGGTCTGAAGCCGACCCCCCTCACCACCTCCGTTGACCGGTGACCGCTGGGGGGCGGTGCCAAGCGGGTCTAACTACCGAACCTGAGGAGATGGGCCGTTCGGAGCCCTAGGGATCAAGCGCCCCCAACATTGGGTCTTAACACGTCTTCCGACTGGTTGGACGGTGCTGGTACCGGATTCCGACAGTGGCTTGCTTCCCGGTTGTACGGATATCATGTCACTGGGTCTGAGACAAATGCAAATGACTTGATCCTTGGACTGGTCATGTCTGAATTGTTTGTACCTGTTTGCACCAACGATCCAAGATCCGGTGCTTTACTTACTACATGTGTTTGGGACTAATACCGTGTTCAACTACATGGCGTTTTGGACTAAAACCAGTTCAGACGTTTTTTTGCCGGTTTTGGAAGGCTGCGTGTTTTTTCTTAAAGCCGAGTACGGCATCGAACGAATCGGCCTGGTCAGCTCTTCGGGTAGGGCTATCCCAGCACCGAACCCAACAGGTCTCCCAACAGGTTCGGGTTGGGAAAGGCCCGTGCCCAGGTTTCGGTGCTGGTGACCTGGCAAGTTTCGGTGCTGGTCGGTCCGACGGTCCGACACCTGAAACCGCTAAGTCCATGTGGTTCATCAGAAGTTCTTGACCGGGCTTGGAAGTCTCTGTACGTGGCAGTCTCGAAGCTCGGTCGCTTGTCGCTTGGGTGTAGGCAACCAGGACTCCAGGACCCCTCCAAGAGATGTCTATCAATCGCCTCTTAGGTGAGGTGTCCAAAAACCACCGGACTTGGTTTCGGTCCTGGAAACAAGTCCTCTATACCAGGACCCCCCGGACCAGGGGTGTCTAATAGCTCCTTAGAGGTTAAGGGGTGTTCATTAGCCACCCCTTGTGGGTCCTGGTACTTGGGTGGTGGCCATTGTTTTTTCATTTTCGGTGGTCAGCTCTTCTCCCCGGACCGTGTTTCCTTCAAGTCGCACGACCCGTTCACCGGACGACACAAGACAACACATGACCAGAAATTGGCCTCGTTCTGCCGGGCCTGCGCGAGGCTTCTGGCCGCCTACACTTCGGCCCGGTTTCAGAAGAAGCTCCAAGCAATGGCGAGGTCGGGAGTCCAGGTCCACGCACTGGGACTGGCAGCTGGCGGCTGTGGGTTACTACTCGCGCCAGGGTAAGTAGGTTGACCTCGTTTGTGGTCCATTTGGTTCATTTTTGGCCAAGCCAGGTGGCCAGGTTCTGACCCACAACCAAATGTACCAGAGTATATACCTATAACCTATGTAATTGAGGTGGTTGAAAAGGGGTCGATGGGGGCGGCAAAATGCGGCAAATATGTTCAAATATGGAGTAACCAGAAGCTACTATAGTACCAAGGGGCATCGCTACTAGGAGCAAGAAACTACTGGTAGCTCCTGGCATGACTACTAGTAACAAGAAGCTGTAGTCCCATGGAGTATCTTCAAGGTGTGGAGCGATCGAACTCCGCGTCCGTTGGTGCGGGTCTCCGACTGAAGGTCGAGAGTGGAAGATGGAAATAAAGCGATTGAGAGGTTGAGAGATCCTGAACACCATATTCGGATGGGCTGCCTAAGGCTGTTCGACCATGGGAAAACTAAAAGTGATGATATGTCGATATGTTCGCAGGTTGAAATCGTGAAGTGTGGCCAGTGGCCCTGGACTGAGCGTCCGCCAAAA